CAATTGAACACCACTGGTCAAGTGAGAGCTCACGATGGACTGTCATCGGAATTCATTATATCGAGTGATATCCGTCAGGGCTGTCAAATTTCTCGAATCTTGTTTAATTTTGTCATTAACTTGCTTCTAGGTATAACATTATCTTCATCTGACTGTTCAAGAGTGGACCATTTACCACGTCAGTTACAACGTAGAACTTCGTACGTACGTACAATAGTTCTCGTTGCCATACCCCATTAGTACAGAGAAGCAACTGTCAGTTCAAATCCAGTAGTTGTAGCAATAGTAGAAGTATAAGCAATAGTGGCGAAGATTAGGGTTCGATAAGTATAATTCAGTGTGATAACTTAAGAAAGAGGTGAGGAATTCAGAAGGTTAGGATTTGCGAAAACGCAAACACTGAATGCACCTGCGCGATTCCAAGCGATTTTGAGCCATGTCGCCTCTAGCTTTCTGCCTGTCGATTCAATATCCTGGATTGAGAATGAGTGATACAACCACCACTTTCTGAAATAGTTTCACTATAAGATGGGTTTCTAATACCGATTTCCTTTATAAGGCGGAACAACTGTCTGCTGTTGCATATCTCCGCTGCCTTTTCCATCGCTCTTGCTTTCGCTACCCATCACTGTTCGTGTTCTTTGCGTAGGCTTTTCATCAACCTGCCCTAAGCTGATTTCGCTCTTCATCATGTTCAGAGCCTAGTGGGATGAATTTACGAGCGTCCATCAGTTCAATAGGTGCTACTACGATCCATGGCTTCTTCCCAGACTTATGGTTTACCTTACTAGCAGATATCACTGCTGTTTCCAAAGCCTCTTTGACATCATTCCAAGCTGCCTCTCGGTGGGCATCACTTACTACATGGTTGCCTGACTGTTTTTCTAGTTGTTCCTGAAATATATTCTTAGCTTCATCATCATTAAGTATAACCTTGACAAGTGTTCTTGCGGTGTCTTTCCTATGTCCAGTAAGCCTCAAACAAATACGCGCTCGCACTAGGGCATGATCTGAATCTAAACATCTACTCCAGAACGAGCGAGAGTCCTCTATTGAACCCCTCCACCGGTGGCCGATGTGATCTAGTTGATTTTAACGTCGAGACGACTTTAAGGGTCTCCAGGTCAAGAGATGTTTTTCCTTATGATAAGGCTGTTGTTTGCTAGAAATATGCTGTTATCTGAGCATAATTGCATTAGACGGTCGCTATTATCTGTTCTCTGAACCGCGACACCGTAAGATCCACCCAAGTGTCTTTATTGTCACTAAGTCTACCTACTTGACCATTGAAGTCACCAGCCATTATTATTATATCAGAGCAAGACACTTTGTGGAGGATCGAAAGCTTTCTGTCAGACACATCTTTCACGTCGTATGAACTGCAATAAGTGGGAGCGTAGGGATATACGACGAAGAGGCAACGGAGAGTGTCCCTATTTTTCTGAGTTCTTACTGTCCCGTTCAGTCGGACGGCACCTACTGGGATCGAGTCTAAGAGAGCTAGTTATACTCTAGGACTAGATTCGATATCCACAGCAGCGAGACCCCGGGGAGCAGCATCAGGGCTTCCAGATACACGAAGAGTCAATTGAGCTGCCTCTTTATTTTGACAAGGTGTAATCAAATTAATGATTTCACTAGGATCCTGTGTGCTCGTTTCGGAGACGCAGCATACATCAATTGTGCGAGATGATAAAGTCCTAACTAGAGAAGCCTGTTGACCTACTTGACACAATGTCCGGACATTAAATGCTTCAGCGTGTAACTTACTACGGGGTTTCTGGAGCCCAGGAATGATGTTTCGTGAACTCGTATCGCTTGCATTAGCGGTGCGGTGTGATGAAGTACTATGAGAAAAGATAATCGTGAAGATAAGAGAGATGCAAGTGGATGTAGGAAGGATTTGTATGTGACCAATTCGGTCTCGCGTGCTGTTACAGATATGAAGGCGGATATCGCTACCCGGCTACCCAGTAGTATGCATAAGGTTATTGTTTGTTAGGAATAGGCGGTTATCTGAGCATAGATGCAGCAGACGGTCGCCATTATCTTTTCTATTAGCCGCGACACCATAAGATCCACCCAAGTCTTTTCTTTTCACTGAGTCTACCTACTTGAGCGTTAAGCTGATCAGTCATTATTACTTTATCAGAGTTTAGAGAGGTTTCAATAAAAACTTATCTTTCATATCGTCTGAACTGCAGTCAATGGGAGCGTAGGCAGGTACGACGAAGAGGCAACGGTGAGTGTCCCTATCTTCCCGAGTCCGTACCGTCCCGGTTAGTTGGAAAGCGTAAAAGCGACTGTCTTTCGGGATCCAGCCTAAGAGGGCTTGTTCTGCCCTAGGACTTAATACCATACATACGCCGGCGAGGCCGAGAGAAGCGGCATCCGAGCTTCCATAAACATGAAGCGTTAACCATGTTGTCTCTATCTGCACTAGGTGAGATCAAATCCATTATTTTACTCGGATCTTGTATGCGCGTTTCGGAGACGCAACATACATCGATCGCCCGGGATTCCATACTTCTAGCTAACGAAGCCTGTTGTCCTATTTGACATAGGGTGAGAACAATAAAAGCTCCTATATGTAATTTAGTACGGGGTTTCAAGAGACCAGGAATAATGTTTCGAGAGCTCGTACCGTTTGCTTCAGCGCATGAGGTGATAAATGATCGAAAGAAGGGTTGGTCGAGGAGATAAGTGAGTTATTTAAAGATGTAGAAAGGATTTGATTGTGACCAATTCGGTCTCGTGTGCTGTTACGGGTATGAGGGTGGATGTCACTTCCCGGCTGCCCACACGGTGGGTGTTTCTTGAGGAACCTGAGAAGGAAGGTAGATTAGTGTTGGTCTTAACGACCTGGGAGTGTGACCGCGGAGCCCAAGGGACAACTGCCTGAGGCTGGTCACGCACGGCTTTTTGATGAAAGGTTTTCTGAGTATTAGCTCCGCTCTTAAAAGCCCTTAGTGGGCAGCCCTTACCGCCGGAGACGGAAATCCGTGAGGTAGGGTGAGATGTGACATTTTTAGGGTCAACCTTCTCTTACCCCTTCCTTCCTTATGAGAAGGTTGAAGATGGTGGTTGTAAGAGGGAAACACCTTACTGTTGTTAAACCCCTCCACAGTAGGCAGCGCTACTTCACCCTCAGACCTTGAGTAGCTGCTTTTAGTCTTATCGTTCTCCAGTCGACCTGCCTGACATGGTAGAACCCTCAGGAACATACGTTTCAGCCAATATAGCTCGGTCGGGTCATAACGATAGGCAAGCCCTGTAGTGAACGAGAACACAGGTGAGGCAACCGGAGTGTAATTAACGAAAATTACAGAGTTACTCAGTAAAATCGGAAAACCATATCGTAAATCGTTAATTTGCAAACTATCAGTTCATCATATCGAACTGGACTGTTCCTGTTGCAAAACATCAATCCATTGTCACTATTCATGCGTTTCATACAAATTCCATTGTTTTCTAACTCTTCCTTTCTTGATCTTCCGCTGCCAAACATTACGTTGACGCCCACGTCATATACTACTTATAAGTAGCTCGCACCACAGCCCGACCACCACGTTAAGGAAGCAGCTAAGGTTGAGACGTATGAAGTTCTACGTTGTAAGTGATTGACTCTGCACTTATTACACTATTTTTCTAAAGACCTTACAGAAGTAACTTTGGAGTAGTGTCCTTAGCACTTGCTAACGACAGACTGATGAACGAATGGAAAAATGACTCAAAGCCAAGTTTTCGGCGAAATCCGATATTTATCAGAAAATTTACAATAATGCAGAGGTATATTTATGAAGATACACCATTGAAGACAGCTTAATTCAATTGATCATGTTTCAATTAGGACTGCGCAAACCTCAGAAAGTGTACGTATAAAGTGCTTGTTAACCACCTGTATCAATTTAAACACCGAGCAGATGAGACCTCTTTTGTTTCTCAAGAGTTCATTTATTGTATAATTGATTGATGACCAAAATATATAGCCTAGAAGAGGTGCGTTTTTGTACTGGTTCTCCAAAATGGTTATTCATCTTAATCAATCAGTGCTTTTCCTAATTTCATTGCCTCTTATTCTTTCCATCCTAAAAATTGGTAGGAATAAACTGTAGACAGAGCCTAGTTTGAACAAACATTTATCTTTTGTTGGGCTTGGGTTGCCATAAGATACAGTTATTTGTTTTTCTGCTTATTTTACCTTACCTAATCTTACAAGTCATCTGTTACAATTACTACATCTGAGGGTCCAATTAAACATAACTTGGAGTAAATGCGGTATAAGCCTTTCTTATTTCCTTCAAGTCTAATCACTTAAAATGTAGTCTAAGACTACAAGTAGGAAGCGACGTGGTCATAGATCCAAAGATTCTATAACCCAATCAAATCAGTGAAAAAGTGGCTGGAATCTATTTCATGAGAACCAGGTCTGCTTTTAAACTTAATGCCGTATCCTTTTGGGGAACCACAAACAGTTGCTACCGAGTTGTTAGACACCTGACTATTGGACTACGTCAATTCTTCACAATGGTCGTGCTAGCTTTAGAAATACGGTATTTATTAACAGGGTGACTGACTTCTCCAACTTGAGAACGTAGATCTTGAACTCCTAACCGCTTAGTCTGAATCATGACGTTTATTCTTGTCTGAGGCTTCTTTAACTTTCTGATTTAGACTAGATGATCATGAGGTTAGCATTCATAACAAAGACATGCTGCAGTAATACTGTTGGAGATGCTGACTACTCGTACGAAACACCCTTTTGCAAAAGCAAGTTGTAAGTAGTTAGAGAGGCACCACACAATTGACCTGTCTAACATGACAAAACTTTAAGCGGCGAGTGTGAAGATTAAATACGTCTCAGCTACTTCATTATGACAAACTATGGTTAACACATTAACACAACGACTAGGATAATACACGTTTTACCATCTAAGATGTTAATTAGTTACCCTGTATACAGGTTTTGTGAGATATGAAAGTCAAGAAAAAAAACTAGATTAAAATGATAACTATCTTTATTGAGATTATATGACTTTTAATCTATGAAAGCTGTTATTATTTAAGACGATAATCAATCAATCAACTACCTGATTGTGGAAAAAAATAAAGGTATGAGCAGAAAAAATCACATATTGATTTCAAACAAATTATAAAAAAGGGAATATAAATAAATTATCAATAGGATGTACATTATGTACATTAAATCAGTCCCGTATAAAATTAAAAAAGAGATTCCATGGATCAGTCTTAAAACATTGATTTCTTTGAAAAACTGTTTCATACCAGAGGATATGAAGCCGCAGTAGCAATACCACACATGTTTTTTGAATCCTTTAAGATTTTAATATAACCGTTCTCACCCCAATCTTCACCCCAACTATTCTTTACAAGCCAATATGAGCGACCATTTTCTTCTCCATAACCCACCACCAGAACACCATGATCAAGGTCATCTGGCCCACCTTTACAATTAGGATCTGAATATATACCTAAATAGTAAGAGGAAAGTAATGATTGTATAAACACTATTGCTGAAAACAAAAATCCTACGCAACCTTATAAATGAGATTTTTAACTACTTGGCATGAGCTTGATGAGCATGATGATGAAAAACTCATGTAATACTAGCATCAAAACTAATCTACTTATCGCATGATCGTTATGTAATTTTTCTGAATTACAGAAGGAAGTAAGATATTGAAAACAAGGTATTCCTAATCACATTGTAACTAAAAGAAACATTAGCATTACTGTAGATATTAGAAACACACCATTGAGATATACTACAACCGGTCAAGCGAGGTTATTCAAGTAAGTATTAAATTCTGTGCTACCCATCAACCAATGATAGAAGAGAATATAAAGACCAGGTTTACCAGGACGCAGTCTAATCCAAGAAAAGACCTGATAACTTTGATGGGAGACCCGAACGCCAAAATCATGATAGATGACTAAGCGCATCATAAGGTGATGTAGAATAAGAGGAAAGATCGAGAACCATGAGAGACTGGTTAAAGAAGGTAGCATTATTCCCCCATAAATATACATGAGTTTCACAGGATTACACAACAGAAAACAAGATTGACCAGATCTAGATAAATAGAAAATTTAGGTCTATGGAAGACGCAAGAACAAACTAGGGGTTCATATAGCTTTAGATCACCACCTAGTAGTCGCCAAGTCAAAACTTAAGTTAAAGAAGCATCAGACGATTGGACACCGCATAAGCTTGGTATAGTCTTCATCCAAGATGTCAAAATAGTTCTTACGAATAAGTCTAATAGGATTTATCACAAAAAAGAAAAACACTGTAGGGAATAGTCAGACAGATTCACCAACTGAAATCTTCAATGCGACACAGTAGTAGAGGTGGTAGGAGTATTAGCGGTAATCCAACAGATTAGGGTTCGAGAATATGATTCAAGGAGTATATCCCATTCAAATAAATTTAAAAAGAGAATAAAGGTCATGAGTTCAGAAGATTAGAATTTGAGAGAACACAAAGAATGGGTGCACCTGCGCCATTGCAAACGATTATGAGTCATGTAATTCAGTCCCCAACCACCTGTTACGACTCTCTCATGAACCTGTCAGGTAGTTGATACCTGCTAACATCGCTCAGTCTAGTTGTCAGTGAATCCATGAATTTGTGCGATGTTTGGTTTGAACGCCCCTACTTTTCTTACAGTCTGCTCCAACATCAGACATCGCTAGTAAGTGGTCAGACACAAGTAAAACATGTATCAACTACCTCAACTAAGGATTCCTTACTTCGTCAATTGATTTGCCGGTCTTACTCAATACCGTTTTTCTAACTTCAGCATTACCTACACTATGGTCCAAGGATATGCAAGCAATGAGTTTATCTAGTGGGCTGTTGCAGCAAGAGGGTAGATGTAACTTCCCTGCTGTCTACGCCATGGAAGGGTATTTGTTGAGGAACCTGGATGGGTTGGGTTAGCTTTGGCATTGGCGATCACGGAGAATGGACGCAGCGCCCAAGGGACAACAGCTAGAGGATGGGATATTTTCACCTGTTAACTCCACTCTTCAAAAATCACTACCGCCAGAAACAGAAATCCGTGAGATATGACAACTTTAGGGTAGGCCTTTCTAACCCCTTGCGTGGAAGAAAGTACCATCGCTGCAGACGCTGGTTGTCCAAGATAAACACCTTACTGCCGTCACACCCCTCAACAGTTACCGGTACAGATGCACACTCAGGCGTTGACTTGCTACTTTTATTCTTAACGTTCTCTAATGGTCCAACCTGGCTAGCATCACCTGGAGAAACGTGTTTCAGCTGATATAGCTCGACTTGATTATCACAATGAGCGGGCTCGATCACTATGTCTAGGCAGCAGCTACGGTTGGTCTAAATACTACTCGTGAACATGAAAGTATTTTTATAAGTTTCCTGTCCTAACTTTGATCTCACTTTTCAAAGAATCAGACTGACAGTTATTTGGAGAAAACATATATGCAGTTGCTTACGAAAAAACGTCAAAGTTGTTATAGAATTAAGCGAATAACAATCGCTAACTATGACAAACCACCTACCTGATTTGTAAGCAGAGAAACTAGGAAGACCCGCATTAACGGCAACTGAAATAGGACCTTTCGTAGCTACTGCATCCATCAGCGCACGCTCATCACCTTCCTCTATACTAAAATAGCCCGTAACCTGAGCCACAATGTTTGTGGCATTGAAATGGCATTGCATACTATCTTCTCCATCACCAGACATATATGGATAGGAAATTTCAGAGTCTATCCCCCCATTTTCTTGGACATATTCAAATGCCAAGTTCATGAGACCACCTCCACAACCATTATTTCCGTAACTCTTGCTACAATCAATCAATTGCTGTTCGGAAATACTAACTAGACGTTTAGTTTTAAGATAATGTTGACCTTCTATGGCTCCAGTTGAGGAGAATGCCCAACACGAACCACACCGACCTTGATTTTTTACTTCGGTAACAGCTCCTTCCCTCCGCCAATCAACCTTCGGTGGGGGTTTTGTATGTTCCGATCGGATATACGTTGATCCTCTAGCTTTGGTAACGCGATGGGTGACTTTGTATCCACGTAAATTCTTCAGCTCATGGTCTGTCTGCAAGTGTGAATGATATAAAACTGGCTTACTTTATCACTAAATTCATTGATACCCATCTGGTATGATACCTTGCCTTCTTGGTATGCGCGATTGTGCTCCATCATCGTGACAAAATTAGCCCCAAAAATAAAGAATCGTCTCGCTTCCTCATGAACACTATCATAAACTCTCTTGAAATGAATTTTGAAAAAACTCCAAGCTGCGTTAATATCAGAGAGCAGATCAACCTTTGCAGTATTAAACACTTTGTCTTCAACAACTTGCTGCTCGGGCAGGCCATCCAAAGTTAATGCAGGCTGGAGATCTGTCCACTTTTTAAAGCCAGAAACACTAAGAACTACAGAGAACAAAGCAATCAGAGCTAATAAAGACCGCATTATCCAACACACAAGATAATCAGATTGCAACTGAAACTTCTGCCCAGCGACCTTAAAAGACAGTATTTATTCACGAGCCAGTATAAACAAATTGGTTTATTTACGGTCGTTTTTTTGTTCAAGGTAGAATGGCGATCTAACCACTCTTCAGTCTAATTCTAGTCAGTTTGCAGTTGGTTGCGAGTTTTTATATCCCGTGATTTGAATGGTAACGTTTCTCAGGGCAGCAGGGTTTCTGGATACCAGTAGTAATCACATTACCAGAACAGAAATCAGCTAGTTGCAGTGTGGAGGATAATAAGGAGAAAATCCTAATGCTAATAAGAGGATTTCAGAATTTAGTAATATATAGATAATTTAGTTTATTAATTCGCAGTGAGGGGGCTATGATTACCCAGGCTGGGAGAGCATTTCAAGTTGCGATGACTCGTAATGAGAAAAAGTGTACAGGAATCTGAGTTTTCGCTCTCTGATGAGCAGTTTTTCGAGGAGTGCCTCAAGGGGTGTGGGGTTATGCATCAGTAAGATGCTCACGTTGGGATGGTTTGGCTTGCTCAATATGTTGTACACCATTATCAGGTCACCTCTGATTACCATGTAACTCAGGGAATAATCCCAAGTGCTGAAGTCTCTCTTCGTAAGGTTTGTTCTTCAACCCCATCACCCATTTCGTTGCTCGTCTCTGCACTCAATCCAAGAGATTTTTTTTCAAACAGAGGGTCTGCGACGACGCTGAGAACCTCCAGGTGTGGACGCGCGTATGTCTTAAATAATGTTAAGAATAATTGTACGTTGATAGCACCAAGTAGTCTTCACGTAAAGTGAAGAGTCATATTTGCCTTGGCTGCGTCCCCTATATAGTTCGGGCTCGGGTGGAGGCATTCTGTAGTTAATAAACCGAGATCGCGCTCTGAGGAGACATTAGGGAGCGGACTTCCATTAAGGGTGTAAGTCTTCTGTGTCATGCGGGGCAGAATGTACATGACGTGACAGTTCGGTTGGTTTAGTTTCAAACCGTTTATTACTGCCCATTCCTCGAAGGATGTAAGGTCCTTTTTTACCTCAGTCGAATCCTCTTTGCTTCCACTGGACTTCCAGATCTTCGCATCGTCTGCGTAGATCAATGCAGGTGAGCTTACTGTGCCTAATAGGTCGTTAATAAATATCAGGAAGAGAAGTGAATCTAAGATGGTTCCCTGTGAAACTCTCGATGTGGCTACTTACCAGCTCGCCTGCACTCTACTTACCTTGGTACGAAACTTTCTATTCTTAGGGTAGTTACTGAGTCGAGATAGATGTGGTTCGAAGGCTTTTTCAAAGTCGAGAAATATAACAGGCACCAGTATTTTTCGGTCTAAGCAAGATGTTGAACTGTCCCATTCTATGGGAAGATTAGATACTCACGACCTGCCTTTCTGAGACCTGTGTTCAGCTTAATAGAGTATTTTGTTCTTATCCATGTACTCCTTCATTCGTTCGTTCACCAGCCCTTCCATTACCTCTGATAGTATTGGTAGTAGTGCGACTGGTCTGTAACAGACTGGGTCCTTTCTCTCTTTTCCTTTGAAGATTGGAGTGAGGGAGTAGCTTGTTTCCATTCAGCTGGGAGTTATGTGCGACTTCAGTGAATGCCTGAATAGGCCACATATCGGCGAACAGAGAGGTTCTGTACATTGTTTCAAGACTATGGGGCGAATATCGTCACAACCTGATGACTTTCCAGGGCGTAAGGATTTTAGTTTCCTTAGTACTAAGTCAGGTGTAATACGGATATTCCCTAAGCCGTCAGCTGGCACTGAGTTTGCTCACTACTCTGAACATGTGGATGCCTGGTTGAAGTTTGTGTTGAGTATCTCTGCCATTTCTAGTTTTGTGAGGTCTTCCCCATTCGGACCTTTGCGAAAACACAACCCCTGATCCGTAGGTTGTCTTTCATTCGTGAACCTGAACAGATGCTTCAGCTTCTTCTGTATTTTGGCAGCTAGCTTCATATGATATCGTCTTCAATCACTTCGTACTTTGGTATTGCATCTCTTTCTCAATGCCAAGTAAGAATCACGATCAGAATCCTTCGAGGAGACCTTTCAATTGTGCTAGGCTATCCTATTCGCCTGTAGCAAGCGCTCGGTGCCACACCTAACGCATGTTCTTCTATTTCCGGGTGTGTGGTGTGACTGAGGTACATTGCTAAGGATGGCATTCTGGTTGATGTCCCTCACTTTTTGCCAGTGATCATCTACTGTCTGCCTCCACCACTCCCGTGGCCATGGGCCGCGTAAAAGGATCTTTCTCTTACGCGTATAATTTGCCCTAGTGTAGCAAAGATAGGGCTAGTTTTCGTCCTGTGAGAGTGTTTCGTTTGTGACCATGTTAAACAAGACTGTGCCATGGTCACTACTTCTTAGTGGTGTATGGACGTGAATATCCTCGACCAGGAGCTGATCATTTGTTAATAAATAGTCCAGGTTTGAGGATTTTCCTTCCTTAATCTATCTAATGGTACTGCATACATGCTCAGCAAGCCTAGAGACATTATTGGCTGCGACAAGTCGTCTTTAAAACCAACCAGCGGGAGTTGTACCCTGATTGCTGAGATTTAGAAAACGGGTATTGAAATCGCCAGCTCAGAGTATCTGATCAAACTCCAGGAGTGGCAGTTGCAGTATTGCCTCAACAGGTTTGTCTTTCTGGGCCTTAGTACCCAAGGGAGGTCAGTAAATCCCTCCAATCAAGTATTTTTGCCGTTTTTGTGGAAACAACACCAACATGATTCTGTCACCACAGTAAGTTGGGTGTTGTATAGCCACTCGGCTTTTAAGTGACTATTAATATATAGCCACTTCGCCTCTTGTTTCGTATACCCTATCGCTTCGGAAAAGCGTCATCCGATGCAACCTCACTTCGTTGTCTGCAATGTCAGTGGATAGCCATTTTTCAGTTAGGATTATGATCTTCAGGTCCATCTGAAAGCACATATTCCTGATTAATAACAGCTTACACCTTAGTCCTCTTACGTTGCTATAGAGGCACTTGGTGGTTTGTCTCAGCACCTGGTGCACCTCTGCAGCAACAGCCGTTGTCGAATTTTCAAACAAGTTGTTTAAACCGAGTTGACCAATTCTGTGAGAACTGACCTCTGCAGGATTTCGCCTGCGCACCGAGTTCAGTCGGCGAGGCTATTCTCTTCTTGTCTGACGCCATGGGTTGTTGATCGAAGTTAAGTGTCAATTTTGTGTGTTTGCTATGGCCTCCGTGCAGTTGTCTCACAGATCTGGGTCGGCTTTCGCAACACTTAATGTGGCTAGACAGGTCGCTCTTCGCACTGTACAAAGCTTGGAGTGCTTCAGTCAGGTTTTCCCGATTCCTGAATGTCACAGCCATCAGACGTGGTAATTTAATGGACATTAAATGTGAAAGGCAGTGCAGCCTAGACACATGTCGAGACGGTCACTACGGGTTTCAAATTATTCAAATAATTTCGAATGGAATAGAAGTTTCGCTTACCGGGCTACTGTATCCATCAGCAACTGATAACTGATGCTTCCAGGCAGGGAACCAGTATATTCAACAAGTAGTTATAATAAAGTACTGTCTCAAGTCCTGAAGAATATTTTTTTATTGAGGACTCAAGAGAACTTGGTCTTATTACCTCACTAGGTTAAAAATTTCATAATTTGACTGCTGCTAGATCTGCACAATTGGCGGAAATAAGATAAATCTCGAGGTTTCCCATAATTTTCGTAAGTTGACGAAAACGACGCGTCGATATGGCCAGGAAAGGAACTATCTACATTAAGCCACGACTAGCGTGAGTAAAATTCATCGAAGATACGTTTCGACAGAAGAATATTACAACAACCGTCTACAAGAATAATGATACGACCACCCGCAACGCTTATTGCTGGTCAATCTTTTACTGCGTGGAAAGCGTTATCTTAAACTGCTCTTCTAGTATCAACACTAAGACACCCTAATCTGCAGATCCTTACTAGAAGCACTAGAAATGCAAAAATGGTTAGCGTAAACGTCGATGAAGAATCCAACAGTTATAACCTGTTTCGGAAGATGCGGACAGCATTCACTCCTCGACGCCGTGTTTCTAAACATTGGTTCCTGTTTCGAAGCTGCAAGAGAACATCCAGCTCAGAGAACAAAACACTACCACAGAAGAGATTCTGATAGTTCGCGTATAGTGCCTCGAAATATATTGCAGTTCGCTTACATCTAACTCGCTTAAGCCACTTCGATTAATTTATTTGACCAAGCCATTTGTGTTGCAACAATCTATATGTACCATTTGTTGTTATTATTATCTGGTTTGTATGAGCTCATGTGACTTTTCCCACTTGTCATTTGACCTTGTCAACTATTCGTAACTTTTAAAAATGTGTGCCTATTTCGCTTGTCACATGTCTGTCTTATATTTTTATGGCCAAATATTCTTAGTCACGCTCTATCTCTTGGAGTTGGCTCAAAAGCCTTCTCCAGTTCACGTCGCTTCATTCGTTTTATTCACTGCTTCTCCGCTTTGCTTTGTGGTGTGTCCCGAATAAACGTATTCATCACTACGAGTTCATGTTCTTATTTCTAAGCTGTTAGACGCTACTTAGTGACGATCGTCTGGACGAGCGAATTATCGAGCTTATGAACACGCAGTAAATCGACACACTACAGGCGGAATATATCTGGCACCTAAAACATTAAGGGCAGCTAGCTTTACTGGACGAAAGGTTTATGTCAGCTGAGAATTTTATCATTTATCAGCTTGTCGAAGGACTGTCAAACGATTATATACAAGAGCCTGTGAGAGCAAAAGATCATAAATTAGTTGATGGTGATACAGAAACAGAGAGACTAAACTAATTGCTTCTACTAATGCCTCTTTATTATATTTTGTAAATCAACATTATTACTAACAACTTGGTTGTTCTGAATTTCCTCGATTCTTTCGACTAACTTCTCATTAGTTATCTCACTACTGAATTGTCTTCATTAACCTACATAAGTGCAGGTGTAAAGTGTTCTGATATTAAAAATGTTTGGGTAAACATACCTTTGTTTTATCCATAAACGTATGTGCA